TCAATGAAGAAATGAGGCTTCATGAGGTTAAGTATTTGCCTGGGTCATGCAGGTGGAAAGTGATACAGCTTGATTTTTAACCCAATTTATGACTCCAAAGCCTGGGCTTTTAACCAATAAGAAGTACTTCTCAGAGTGCTGGGGATTTATGGACTATCTCCACAAGAATTATTTCGAACACTGTTAGAAATGCGTATTTCTTGGAAAACTAGACATTCTTTGAAATGCGACCCAGGAATATGAGCTTCTGACAAGTTTCTGAATTCTGATGCCCATATCAACTTGAGAAATGCTGCGCTTTATTACTACCTCTCAGGAGTACACTAAATTTATTTTTCGCATTTGAGAGTGATTTTTTAAAAAGCTGTAACAAGAGAAGCTCAACACAGGTACTATACAGGTTGCCATCAAGAACCATAATTGAAAACTAAATTTTGGCATACTTTCATCACGGTTTCAGTGTAGGAAAAACAACTCTAAAATTCTAAATTTTACTGTTCCTCTTCCAGTTTTAAAAAAAAGAAGAAATTGATTTGCTCGTTCTCTTCATTTATTCTATAAACTCTCCACACATTACACAGGAATTGAGTCAATAATGGGGTAACCTTGAAGGAAAAGAAGGGGGGAAGTGACAAATTCATTGCTAAAATCACATGCTTTAAGCTGAGACTTCTACAGTACAGTTCACCCTGCAATCCAGGACAAAAATACTTTTGGACTATTAATGCTTGTTTAAACTTGAACGCTCTGTCTAGGAGGCCAGAGTGACTAACCCAACAGCAAAGAGTCAGACTTTAAACTGGCAGGGCCCACCCAGGAGCAGCTGTTTGCTGGCCTTCGGGTTTCAGGCAGATTACCCAACCTTCAGTTTCTGCATCTACCCAGAAGGATGACAACCCTCCCCCTCGCCCTTCCCTTCACTTTCCAAGCAGCGTCTGAAAGCCAGGCGCCCGGGCCCTCCAAGAGGCTATGGGCTGCGGGGCCCACCACGCTCCACACTGCTTCCTCCAGCCACAAGCAGGGGTCTAAGCCTTACGTCTCCGTGGTCACCAGTCACGGTGCAGCCTGTGCTCTCGGTAGCTCTGTCCTACCCCTCTCTCCTCCCGCAAAGCCCCGCAGGCCCAAGGAACCCCCACTGGACGCTCTCCAGCGTAGCCAACACCCTGATGTCTGGAAGCTCCTCCTCCTCAACCTTACAAACCCGACCTACTGTGCTTGGGAACACCGCGGGTCCTGAACCGCTCTCAAGCAGACTCATTCTGCTTCACACTTCGCCTACTTCGGGTCACCCCGCTCCTGGCACTCTTCATTCATTCAACAGATGCCTGACCTCTATGTCACGTCAGGCATTGTGGGAAAAGAGAGTAGGGCTCAAAACAGACAGCATCTCTAAATCAGGAGTTTGAATTCGAGCTGGGAAGCAGGCAAATAAATAGATCGTATACACAAAGCGGATGAAGAATGTTGTTTAGCTATATCTTTCAAGTGGATACATAGTAATTATAAGTATTTACGGGCATTTCAATACATGTATACAATGTATAATAATCAGTTCAGGGTAATTGGCATATATGTCACCCCAGACATAGCATTTCTTTGTGTTGGGACAATCAAAATCATCTTTATTAGCTATTTTGAAATATTCATTTTATAATTACAAATTGTGCCAAGAAACATGAAAGATAAAGCGGGAAGTCCTAATGGGAGTTTTGTGTGTGGAACACTCGGGTAGACACAGTGCTCAGCTGCACAAGGAGTCAGCCAAGTAGACGGGTGGCGAACATTTCAGACTGGGAGAAACAGTCTTTCAAGACTTCTTCCACGCCTCTTTGGCAGCCCCCTGCACGGACACATCTTAGCTCTCGTCACCAGCAGACCTGAACATTTACATCCCAGGCATTCATCAAAACCCACAGTGACAGCTTGCTTTCTTTATCCATGTCTTGCTCAGTAGCTTCCACCTCACCCTGAACTCCAATTCACACTGACCTATGTTCTCCACTGAGGCTGCTTTCTCACCTTAAATATTCGGTTTATAACAAACACACCTCTTAGACTTACGTCCAATCCCTTGAGTCTCCTTTCTTTCTTCAGATCCCCATTGCAAAATCCCAACCACTTTACATTTTCTGAGACAATACCTGCTCCAGTGAGAATTGCTGGACACTCCTCCCCCACGGACTGATTTGAAACACTATAAATTCATGATCACTAACTCAACATGTGGTCTTCTACACGCCAAAGTACTATTCAAATCTCTATTTGTTCCCTCCCCTCTCTAGTGACCATTTAATATCTTTTCTCTCTTCAACATTTCTAACCCTCTCTAGCCTTGGCATTCATGACACCCTATGTCATGGCTTTTCTTCTTATCTTTCTGATTATTCCTTCTTAGATTCTTTGGCTATCTCTTTTTCTGACCTGAAGCCACTTGGAGCTACTTGGGGCCCAGACATGGGCCATTTGCTGCCATTGATCTAAATCATCCTAGATGATCTCATTCCTTCCCATGACTTTAAATATCAATCTGTGTGCTTCTAACCTGCAAACCTCTCGTGCCCTGACTACCACTCCAGTCTGAGGACTGCTATGCTTATGTGAACCACTGTCATCCCTGCTGCCGTTACTGTCACAGCTCCTAAAATACTTAACTAACGCTTCAGTCTCCTCACAGTAGCCAGAGGGATCTTTCAGGGGTGTAACTAAGATGTATTATGTACATGAACCAACTCCCCACAAGGAACAGAACCATTATGTACCGTACAAAAAAAACCCCTGAAAAATAAAGTAACAGTTTTCAACAATTTCCACAGCTCTCAAACTAAAATCCCTAGTTTCCGGTGGCGGCTGTAACAAATTACTGCAAATGTGGAAGCCTAAAACAACAGCAATTTATTCTCTAGCAGCTTTGGAAGCCAGAAGTGCAGGTGCTGGCAGAGATGAACTCCCTGCAAAGGCCCAGGAGAGATCCCCATCCTCCCTCCTCGCCCGACCCCACTGTCCCATCCCCACGTCCGGCTTCTCATGGCCTCCCCTTGGTCTCCTGTTTCTCTTTTAAGGGCATTTAGGGCCCACCTGGATATTTCAGGGTTACCTCATCTCAAGATCCTTAAAGACCTTCTTTCCAAATAAAGTCACATCACAGGTCCCAGGAATCTCACACAGACATGTCTTTTGGATATTTAATACACTACGAGCTCCAAGCCCTGCCTGAGCTGCCTCTGCCTACTCGAAACTTCATCTCTCCCTCTTCCTTACCAGGCTGTACTCTCTGGCATTCTTTCACTCCCTTGATCTAGAATAACTTCCACACTTGGTCTTTGCCTATACTACTCTCTCTCCAGTCTTCACCTAGCTAACTCCTTCTTGAGGTCCTTCAGCTGCCCCTCACTTCTGAAGAGAATTATTCTTTGACCCCATACATTTGAGTATGGGCCCTTCTTTCGCAGCGCTGGACTGTTTCCCTACAAGTACGTGGTACTTACACATGGCTTTGTAGGTTTATGTGTTCATATTTGCCTCCACCACTGGACCGTGAACTCTTCATGCCACCCGAGGAAGCACATCTGTTCTGTGCACTTTTGTATGTCTACCCAGAGCATATGGTGACATCTGGCACACAGTAGCTTTAACTAAGCAATGGGATACTAAGTAAATAGAGCCTTTACCCTTCCTGGCTTGAACAGGATTAGATAAATGCAAATAAACGTGTTAGAGTGCTGACCAGACAACAGGACACTGCCAGCCTGAAGTGTCTCTGTCTCTCCCTGCCCTGCCTTGCCCTGCCCTGCCTGGAAGGGTGGTAGGGCTCAGCACAGGAGAAGACCATCAACTACTCCTGGGGAGCTAGAAGGCTTCTGCAGCCCTTTTGTGCCACGGGCAGCTGTGCAACACAGGAACTCGCCCTACCTTCTAGTAACCTCTGCCGCCTCTCCAAAGGGACTGACTGAGGGTTCTCTCCTGCGCTCGCTCTCTCCTTTCTTAATTTTGCAAATCATAAAGTATCTGTAGTATTGTATTATAAATAATAAACCCTGATGGCTACTCTAAAATCTAGCATGCAGAGAGAGAGGCAGGAAAACCTCTTCTGGAAAACCTGAAATTTCCCCACTTTTTTTTTTTAAATTCCTGAAGTATTTTTGAAAATTGAGATATAGCTCATGTAACATAAAATTTTACTCTTAAAGAATTCTGTGTTTGGCACCAAGTTGTGCAGCCACTGTCACTAATTCCAGGACATGCTCATTACTCCCCTCACCCCAGGAAAATCCACCCTGCTCCTTAGCAATCATGCCCTCCTCCCCTGACCTCAACTCCTGGCAACCACCAAGACACTATTTTCCAGTCTTGTTTTACATTCATGAAGCGGAAACACAGAGATGAGGTCATCTGCACAGAGCTGCAAGTCACTCAGCAAGAGAACAGGGTTAGGGAAACCCATTTCCAGTAACTGCCAAGCAAGTATGAACCAAGAGGAGGTGAAAATACGTTTCATACACCTGCACACATCCTGTACATGCCCACGAGACACCTGAGAAGCCCTTTGCCCGGCCACTCCCAGGTGGTGTCGAGCCAGGGAGAGGTACAGGAGCAGGACAAAATCACTGAGGAGAAACAGATGCTACTGGGGGAGAACAGTGCCGATGAACCACTGTGGATTATAGGACATTTTTCTTTCAGGCCCAAAGTTCTGAAATTAGTGTTTGCGTGCCCAGCTGCTAGCTTGCTTCCTTTTATAGTAGCTCCAATGGGTCCCAAAGAGCCTTGCTCATTCTGCGTGTTCCTCAGTAATTAATGCAATAACAGTGCTAACATCACTTTATAGTATCTACTGGTTAGTGACACCGAGGTATGCAAAGTAATTCGGGAACCTTGATTTTCTTATATTCTGTCTGCATTTTCAAATAAGCAAAAGAATTAAAAGCTTAACTTACCTCTGTTAGGATTATGAATGTGTACACAGGAACTGTAATCTCACAGATTAAAGTCAGCAGAATCCATTTGCAAAAGTAGGCACACATTTTATTTTGTATGTCTTAATCAGCATTACAAATACCATTAATCAAAAGGGGGGAAAATGGAAACTGCTCATCACACAGAAAAAAAAAATCAGTTTAAGAGAGATCAATTTGAACTTTAGTATTCTCTGCACTCATTCAAAAATATTATTAAAACAACTGAAAAAGACAAGTCAAAACTAAGTATTTTATTACTAAAATTGAGACCCTACAGCAACTAAGAGTGCACAACTTAAATCTCGCCTTGGATCTAGCAAATTTTGATTTGCTAACATATAACACATACAGAAGAGCCTACCCCTGGATGAATAAACAAATTTTTTTTACAAAAAAGTCATTTCGAGTTATCGAGATCCTTGTCATTTACAAAAATGACTGCTAAAAATGTTTATATAGATAATCAATCTATTCACGGAATTCATCACTAAATGACACAGTGAACATTTAAGGTGGAAACTAATTGCCCACCAAATATTTTATAAAACTACTATCAAGCATGTAAATTAGCTTAAAAGGTCAACTCTTAATTGTCTACAGTAAAAGAGAGCTTTGGTACCAATAAATTAGAATTAAAGAATCAAAATACATTTTGTATGTGGCACTACAGTGTAGCTTTGGAATTAAATTGGAACTTGCCTAGATATAAAACCATGAACATCCCCTTCCTTTGTTAATGAACACTAATACGAGGAATGAACAGACTAACCTCTCTGAATTGTCGACAACAATTAAGGCACTAGCCTAAAATATTTTCCAAAGACGATTACTATATTCAAGTGAGCTCAGCTCACTTGAAAACATTTTTTTCCCCAGTGCTGGGGATCAAAACCCAGGTCCTCATGCATGCAAGGGAAGTGCTCTACCACTGAGCTATGCTCCCAGCCCTCACTTAATTTTTAAAATTATTTCTTTTTTCCAGGTTTACAAATGTACTGAACATTGCTCAACTGTTCAACATTACCTGTGTTAAAAGTGAAGGGATTAAAAAGTGTAGAATTTACAGTGACTGAGTTCAATAAAGGGAGAATATGCAACTTTTCAGAGCTAGAAAGGATCTTCAAGATCCGATCCAACACCCATTGACAAGGAAACTGAGGCCCAAGCACATCAAATGACTTCATCAAAGTCACACTCCTTGGGTGAGCCTGTCCTGCATCCATCATTCACAAATCTACTGAAAGTGCCTAAGTGTCAGGCTGCTAGGTGCTGAAAACGAGCTAGAAGGCAGTACTCAACACTGCCAAAGCAGTCTTTTTGCCCTTGTAATCTTAACATAAATCCCGACATGTCCAAATCAGTATGAGCTCACAGAAGAGTGCCACAGCCTTTGTACAACTGGGCTCACTTTCAGTTTCACACATTTTAGTTTTGTTGTTTGTTTTTTTTTGTACCGGGAATCGAACTCGGGACCTTGCGCTTAGGAGGCAGGCGCCAGAACCACTGAGCTAAATCCCCGGCCCTTCACACATTTTAGTAAACACAGCTGGGTTTAACTTCAGAGAGGCTCAATTGTGTTTACTTTACATGATTAAGCATTAACAAGGGAGGCACAGTATTCTGAATGAATTTCTTTCTAGTACATTCATAACTTAAGGAAGTGCAATCAGAAAATGCCCTACGCTCATAAGCAAGTTCACAGAACAGCTTAAAAAATCAGAGCTGTTCAAGGTATCAATGTATAGATCAGTTAAGTCCAACAACTGGAGATTACAAAGTGTGGAATGTAAATATCTCCCCATTTCATTCAGTCAGGAGTATAGCTTTTTGAGATGTCTGTATGTTAAGATTTTCAAACTCACATTCAAAGAAATACCCTCTTCCAATGACACCATGTATCCTTTCACAGATTTATCTAAACCAAGCCTTCCCTCCTTAAGATCAACTTTCTTTGATTTGTAGTTGATTAAGGGAAAATTAGTTTTAAAAACACCTAAGATTTTAGGTGTTAGCTAAAAGAAATGCAAATTCTGTGTAATCAAAATAGCAATAGTTCAAAACGTACATTAATTTAGATTTTACATTCTTTAATATGAAGACTGGCACTTAAGTGTTTTGTGTGTCTCAATTCACAGTAAACTTTCTGAAGAAGTAGGAGACACACTGACAAAGCTCTCAAATGAAACAACCCATAAGTAAGGCACTTTGAGACATTAAACAGCAGCATTCTGCCCACCCAGCTTCAGAAACATTCCAAAACGAGCCTCAGCTTTCTAGTGCTCTCACTGTTGGGGAACTTCTGACAAACCCCAGCCTCCAGTCAGGCTCTGACTTTCCTGAAGCTATTGTTAGCTCCAGTGAAAGTGCCCTTGGGTCCTTCTACTTCTCAAACCTCCAGATTTGATTTTTATCTAGGGCCTCACAAGTTCTCATCTGTACATCAGGCCGACCCTCAGCTGTCCGGTAAGCACTAAGACAAAGTCCTGAGTGTGGATGAAAAATGGTTCCATCTTCTTTAAAATGCCAGATGATGTTTACTGGAGCAGGGGACCCATCTCTGGGACAAGTCTGCATTCCTACATAAGTTTTTTGCTCAGGAACCTCTGCACACAACTCAGTCACCGAATTAAACCGTATTTCTTTGTTTGAAGTATATTCAAAGAACTGGTTACCTCCTTGACCATGGCATCCAAACAGTGAGAGGTTAGCCCCGGTGGGGTTGTTGTCAGGAGAATTATAATCTAAGCATTCGGAAGAGATCCCCAAACTGCGAATAGCCCCGTGCCAACCTGGCCTATCCTCTGGTACGTGTAAATTCGAAAACACGTTTTTCAAATACCAGTCAAAGCTTTTGCATCTCAGCTGTTTTCGTAGTAATTTTCTTTCAGAGATATCGCCATAAGCTTCCTTCCGTGCTGGAGGGTTTCGGTTGTAGAAATGCTCTTTGTAGTCATCCATCCACACTTCTGCTGCCCGTGCAGTGTTCTGCAGGAAGTTGGGGCGGGCGTACGGCGCCCGCTTGGGGAACACGTGGCCCACGTGGGAGCACGGGTGGATCTCCAGCTTTCCACCGCACTGCCACACCCTGAAGGACAGCTCCAGGTTTTCACCTCCCCACACTTCCATCCCAGTGTCATACGTCCCCAGGTACTCAAAGTATTTCTTGCTGACAGCAAACAGCCCTCCAGCCATGGTGGGAGACCTGATGGGGTCAATTCTTGACGTCCGCCTGTCCCTTTCCTGCTTGGGGACAGAATGCCACTGGAATGTTAACCGCCAGTCAAACCCACCGATCATGGGTTCCCCCGTTTGCATGTAGAACTCAAAAGTATTCCAATCAATCGTGTCTATAACCGGACAAACGACTGCTGTTTCATCCCTCCCTATCCTTTCCAGGAGCGGCTCCAGCCAGCCAGAGTTACACTCACAGTGACAATCCAGGAAGGTGAGGACATCGCCCGTGGCGAAAGTGGCTCCGATCAGACGGGCCCGAACCAGGCCCTCTCGCTTATTGGTTCGGATCAAGCGGACTCTCTCTAGGCTGCTGATGTAAGTTTCCAGTTGCGCCTTCAAATACACTCTGTCGCTCAAGTCATCCACCAAGATGATCTCCTTCAGAAGGACAGCGGGAGAAGTTTCCAGTACGCTGTGAATGGTGCGGAGCAAAGTGGACCAAGCTTCGTTATAGAAAGCGATGACGACCGAGGTGGTGGGGAGTCTCCTGTAGTCGTACGTCTTGGATTTACACTCAGACATTCTCTTATCTTCTATGTGGCGGTGCAGGGAAATCCTGTCACTGAGGTAAATGTTGATGGCATATCTCTCAATGAGTTCCTCCTGCTGCTTCAGTTCACCCTCGCCGAGCTCGAGTTTGCTCGCTCTCCCCCACTCGCCAAGGGCGTGGGAGTCTGCGGGGGGCTTCCCGTAAAGAGGTCGGGACAAATCTTCTTCCCCTTTCTTAAGGTGGGCGAGGCGCCTGGAGCCCTGCTCCGGAGCAAGGCCGCCTCCGGGGGCGGCGTGGAAGGCGGACACCGAGATCTCCAGCAGGAGGTAAGCCACGGTTAAAAGCGCGAGCAGCACGCAGCTCCTGCCTGCCCAGGTCCACCTCCCGGGCACCCGGATCCTCATGGCGCGGGCGGGCGGACGGGCGGACGCGGCCCCCAGCCGGCGCGCGGGAAGCGCTGCGGGCCCCCGGCTGCGGGCAGGGTGAGCTTCGCGCAGCCCCCTCCTTCCGTGGGGCGCCCGGGTCCCCCGGCGTCACCTGAGAGCGCCCCGGCCCGCCGCCTCTGCTCTGCCGCTTCCTCCGGCCGCGCTCGGAACTTTTCCCAAACTCCGCGGCCAACACCCCGCCCGCCCGTCCTCCCTCCCGGGCCACACGCCCGCAGCCCGCCGCGCCCCCTGGCGGCCGCTCGGGGAAGCGTCTCGGGAGGGGAGGCGGCGGCTCCCGGCCTCGGGCGTCCCGGGTCCGCGGCGCGGGGCGGAGGCTGCGGGTCACGGAGCGAGAGGAACACAACTTACCGAGCCGCTTGCCGTCGGGGCTGAAGTGCGCGGAGGTGACGGCAGCCCCGTGGGCCCTGAAGTAGCGCTCCAGGCAGGGGTCCTCCTAGGGGAGAGCGGCGGGCGTCGCCAGCAGGCCGGGCCCGCCCGCCCAGCCCGTCCCCCGCGGGAGCTCCCGGGGCTCCGCAACCCCCCCCCCCGGAAGGCCCCAGGACTCGGCCGCGCTCCGTCTGCAACCCTGGACTGGGCGGGACAGCGGGCGGCCGGCGGGCTCGGCGCTCCCGGGCGCCCAGGGCGAGGCCGGGGCCAGGTCTCCCCGGGGCGCCCGCACGTGCCGACCCGGCCCTCGGCGGCGGGAACCGCGAGGCAGGGCTCCCCAGCCCGGCCTTACCGGGGCGGAGGCCATGCAGGAGCGGGGGGGCGTCGGGGAAGGGCACGGGGCTGGGAGGGGGACCGTGCGGCACCCGGAACCGTCTGCGCAGAGCGGCAGCACCTGCCGGTCACTACAACAACGGCGGGCCAGGCGAAGCCCGCGCTCCAGGCGTGGCCAGACGAGCCCCGAGACGCGCCCGCGCGGGAGGCAGCCGGCCTCTGCGGGCGGCCGGGCAGCGCCGAGTCCGGTGCGGCCACACTCCGAAGCCAGTGCTCACTAACGCTAACGTCCCCGTCAGCGTCTGGCCAGGGAAGAGATAATAACCAGGTCAGGCAGGGGAACGGTGGAAGGGAGGGCGTTATGAGCCTGTGATCGATGCAATCAGAGTTCGATTATACGTTAAAGAGACCGCGCACACTTGTTTCCAGCTGGGCCCCCTAACAGAGGTGGCGAACCTGTGGCACGCATACCGCAGCGGACTGTTTCTACCATCCAGGACTCTAAAAGGTCCGCCATCCCTGCTAGGGCTTAAGACTGAGAAGGGAGCTTTGATCTGAAAAGAAAAGTTGGTTAGTGGTTAATATAATGAAAGAAACTAATCCCTGGAGGACAGATGTGAATTTTTTAAAAGGTCTACACACTTTCTGTTGTGTGATGCAGATACAGATGCTGGATACACCTGAGGAATGAACATTTCATTCAAATGTGCATGGATTTCAGCGTATCTGCTGTGTGTTTCTACTCACCTCTTCTCATTGACGTCTGCTTTAGGGTAGTAAACACCAGGACTTAGAAACATATGGTTGTAAAGCTCTAGGTAGGCTACATAGTAACTGTAACCATTTCTCCTGTAGGCTTTCCTACACATAGTATCATTTGTGCTTCACCAACATTATGAAGTTGGTGGTGTTACAAAATGTTATCAATGTTCAAAAATGATAAACTTCATTCTCAGATAATCTTTTTTAAAAACTTACTTTTATTGGTACATTTTAGGTATACAATATAATGACATTCATCATTGGAAATTTGTACTCTTACATAATCTCTCTTGGTTTTTTATTTTTTCCCCATTCCCCTGTCCTCCCTTGGACCCCTCCATCCCTCCCTATTTACAAAGACTCTGTTTCCATTTTTTCTTTTTCTCATATTAATTCCACTTCTTGCCTTTTCCCTACCGCTCCCACTTCCACTTCCCCTTTGCCCCTTTTCTTGCTATTTAACATTATCTATTATACCTTTTAGTCCTTATTTACACTTTCCCTTTCTCACACTAGAGAAACTATTTGGAATTACACACTATTTCACTTAAGAGTATCGCCTCAATGTGCATCATTTAGCTATAAATGTCTCCAATTTCTCATTTTTTATGGCTGAGTAGTACTCCATTTTATTAAAAAAAAA